TCTATATTAAGTAGCTAATACAAATAGTAGGTAATAAGATAATATCTTTAAAATAGTAGTAAATGTTTTATTATAGTCTAAACTATAACGTTATTAAAAACCTTATACTATATATTAAGCTTTATATATATTAATTATACTATTAGAGTTAAGTTTACGTTTTAGTACCTATTTTTCTGTAAGTAGTTTTTAGTTTTGTTAACGTTTAATATAGATCTATACTTTGTACTTCTAGAGTAAGTTATATTCTTTGTTTATAGCCTTTTTTTATAAGAGCTATTTAGAGAATTATATAGTAACTTTAAGACTTATAACTTTAGATAGGTCTTCTAAGACTTCTACGTTATTATAGATTATTAGTATTATTATTTAGTGTTCTTAAGAGTTATTCTAATTATCTAAGGCTTCTAAGTAATATAATTAGCTATCTTAATTTTTGCTACAATTCTTAGTATTTTCTTCTTTATTATTGCTATTGTTACTACTATTATTATTATTACTACTATTACTATTATTAGAGTCTATATTCTTTATTTCTTTATTACTTAGTTTATAATCTAAATTATTTTCTTCTTTATTATTAGATAATTTAGACTCTAAAACCTTCTCTTTATCTTTGCTATTAGAGAATTCTAAAACCTTCTCTTCTTTACTACTATTATTAATAAGAGATCTTATATTCTTCTCTTTATTATTATTAATAAAAAACTCTAGATTCTTTTTATTATTATTAGTGTTAAAAAACTCTAAAATCTTCTCTTCTTTATTACTAACGTTAAGTTACTTCTTCTTACGCGTAAGTATCTTATTGTATTTTAACTCTATTCTTAGTAATTTTACCTCTATACTAATAATATAATTATTAGAAATATATTATATATTCTTATAGTAACTATTAAGTAGTACCTATCTAACTCTCTTCTTAAGATTATAGAAATAACAACTACGTTAAGCGTAAGATTAACTATCTATTATACTATATACTATAGGTTTATTATAGTAATTATAAGGTAGTTCTCTATTATAGTTTTATAGATTATAAGAATAACCTTTATTCTATATTTTGTATAAGTTATAAGTAGGTTTACTATTACTATCTTTATATTACTATATTATTATATCTATTAAGTCTAGATAATAGTACTTTATAGTAGAGATGTTATTATTATTTAGATAGGTACACTATTTATAGCCTTTCTATATATAATATATATAAAGTTAGTCTAGGTTATAGATAAGTGTGTAATAGCTATAATATATATATTATTTCTATTTTAGCGCCTTTTTAATATACTTAGGTATATACTTTTTATTTCTCTTTATATATATTAAATAAGAAGATTCTCTATTACACGTAAGCCTTATAGCTATATATTCTAAGCATTTCTTTTCTTTTATAACTTCTAGTTTATAGAATAGAGCTACTAGTTTATCTATATAAGAAATGTTTTATTCTTTATATATTAGATAAGATTTAATAAAAGAAGGTATGCTATAATATATATAGTTATATTAGTAATAAAGTTTATAGTGTTTACTTCTTAGAAGTTCTCTACTTAGTTTTAGAATTTTTAGTATATCTTAAGAAACGTATCTATATCTCTTCTTCTTATAGTAAGTATATTTTTTATTAAAAGAAGAAACTCTATTATAGACTCTACGTTATTTAGTATAAGCTTAACACTTAGCGTCTTTTTATAGTATAAGTGCTATAGATAGTCTATTTTATTTCTAGAATAGTAGTTTAGGCTTCTTATTCTTACTTCTACTATCTAACTATTCTATATTATTATTAGTGTTAGTGTTACAAGAACGTACTAGTATAGATCTTTTATATATTATATCTTATAGATCTTAAGATACTTCTCTACTTTTAATATCTACAATATTAGTAAAATAAATCTTTCTAGAATTAGAATTCTATATCTTTATTTTTAATACTTCTTAAATACTAATAAGATAACCTATTTATACTTAGACGTTAAGCTTTTTTATTTAATTTATTATAGTGCCTATACGTTATAACTATAGAATTAAAATAAAAGCTCTTACTCTCTATAGTTATAGAATAGATATATTTAGTTTTCTACTATAGAGTACTTTATATAGTATTTTATCTAATTTTAAGGCTCTAGTTAGTATATAATTCTTAAGATATATAGTATAGTAATATACTTTAGGCTATAGCTTTTCTAGTAGAGTTATATTTTCTAATAATTCTTATGTTTTTGTATTAAGTATTCTAAGAATAGTTTATATAATAGATTTGTTAGCGCCTAGCTATCTATCTCTAAGAATAATAGTAGTTTAGTCTTATATAGTTTAATTTGCGCGTTTAATTACTTCTTTTATATAATATTAATATAAAGTAATAGTCTTAAGATAAATACTCTCTTCTTTATAAAAGGTAGTAAATTTATTTAAAATAATTCTATTATCGCAGCGTATTCTTTAAATAATAATTTTATTAGTAATCTTTAGCTCTTTAATATATTATATAATAATATTATTAGTCTTTATAGTCTTTAGATTTTTTATCTACTAGTATTAAGTTATATTATCTATAATGTTTAGCATACTTTAAGTGCTATTATAACTAGTTAATCTATATAGACTCTAGATATTAATATAAAGAAGATCTCTAGGTTTACTTATAGTATAGCTTACTAGGTTTTAGAGTATCTTAATAACGTTCTTTATAGTAGCGTAGATAGAATAGTATTATTCTATTCTTACTTTAATCTATACGTAGATAATAGTAAGCTTAACTTCTATTTTAAGTAACTTTTATATATTCTTAAGAGTTATGTATTCTAGGTTTTAATAATATTTCTAAACTTTATTATTAAATAAAAAACCTATATATATAGAATTATCTTCTAAAGTTTTATCTTAATTAATCGCTAGAAATATATATAAAGGCGTAGTAGTATCTTATAGAGTAGTAGTGTCTATAAGTTTAATAAGCTTTAGTTAATAGAAACTATTATTTTCTAGCGTAATTATAATAGTTTTATTAGTTTTAGTGTACTAGAATTAAAAGATAGATTTATTTACTAATCTATTAATCTTTTGCTTTATAATCTATAAGACTAATACTAAACTATAAATAGTATCTAGTAAGTATATAACGTTAGACAGAGTAATATAGTTCTAAGTTCTATTATCTAGGTTAATATCTAAGTATACTATACTAATTCTAACTATTTCTAATACAGCGTTAGTATTAGTAATTTATATAGATCTTAGTTTAATATTATTTAAGTCTATAAATTAGTTTTAATTATTATATAGATATATACTAGCTCTAGAGTTAATAATCTATTTATTTATTAATAAGTTATCTTTCTTAAGTATAAGTGTAGCTTCTATAACTATATTTATCTTTATAGGTATATAATCTCTTAGTACTATCTTTCTTTTATTTCTATACTTTATATTAACACTAACCTTTTAAAAGTTAGTTAAGAAGTAAGAATAGAGAGTAGATTATATACTAGATTAATTATAATTCTAATAATAGTTAGACTAGTCTAAGAAGTAACTATTAATATAGTAGTCTTAGTAGTAATTAATAGTAACTAGTTTGTTATTATTATAGTTATCTAAGACCTCTAAGCGCTCTAATTAGCTACTTTAATTTTTACTATAATTCTTAGTACTATTATAAGTAACCTTGTCTATAGTAAATTAAGCTTTTACTTAGTCTAGGTTATCTAGCTAGTTAGATAAGTAATAGTTAGTGTAGAAGCTTTAGACTTTTATAATCTTAGTAATCTTAGTAGAGTAAAATATAAGACTAATTTATTTATTAAATATCTTATTCTAGTTTTCTTATTTGTTTGCTTTATTCTTTAGCTTTATCTAATCTAGTTTAAGTTCTAGATACTTAATAAAGTACTTATCTTAAGAGTAATTATATTCTCTATATTCTTATATAGAGTATTTTTTACCTTAATTCTTCTTATTATAATAATCTTTATTATTCTTCTTATTATTAGGCTTTTATTTCTTCTAATCTTTCTTATTTTAATAGATATTAATTTTAGCGTCTTAGAGTTATTATTTAATATTATTAAGATAAGGCTATTTAATGTCTTGTTTATTATATAGTATATTTATAAATTAAATAGTTTTATTAAACTCTAGAGTAAGAGAATAGAAGATCTTAGCTTAAAGAGCGCTTATATTATATATACTCTTTAGTTCTTAAAGATAGATAATATTCTCTTCTAGCTAACTAAAGAAGTTATTAAGGTTTTTATAGTTCTTTAGATAGAGTAATTTAATAGTCTTATAAAGAATTTACTTATTTTAGTAGTTACTAAGTTAATATTATTTCTTAAGATATGTCTAAACGTTTATAGAATTAGTGTACTTATTTAAAACTAATTAGATAGAGTCTAAGATATAAAGTCTAAGAAGTGTAAGTACTTAATTAGTCTTCTTATTACGTTTATTATAGTTATATAAAGTACTCTTATATTACTTCTTAGCTTCTTTAATTATAATATTCTAGTAGAACTTAGAGTTATTCTTATTAACCTCTACTTCTATAATAAAGTTTCTATGCTTATCTAGAGTAGGTTAAGTATTAAGTTTAACTTTCTTATATATAGCTTATAGATATATAAGAATATTAGGTTTATTAATATTTATATTATTACTGTTAAGAATATCTTAGAGGTTAAGGTATTAGGCAATAATTTTAATATCTTATTCTTATTTAGTAAAGTTAGTTTATCTAATAAGCTTAGTAATCTTATATAAGAACATGTCTTTAATAGTAAGGTTAGTAGTAACCTTATTAAGAGAGTTTCTATTAGGTATAATTAGTGTAGTAGAAACTTCTAGGCTTATAACTTATTAAACTTAATAAATTAATATAAAATAAGATAATAGAGTAAAGTAAAGCTCTACTTCTCTTATATACCTAAGAAGTAGTATTTATGTTTACTATAATATAAACCTACTCTCTAACTAGAAGCTTCTAGTTTTATCTAACAGTAGTAGACGACCTATAGCATTGGCGCACGAAGTCAGCGCACCGACCTCGTGAAGTTTGTCTATGTATACTCACCAAGTTTATACCGCCCATCTGGTTCATGAATTGCGCACCGTAGGCAAGCAACACACGACGTCCAGTCTGCACACGATCTTTCTTGAGTAGTTGCGACCACTTATACTCTCCATGCTCTCGCTCAACTTGTAGAGCCTCAAGCACCTCTCTGTTCTCCTTCTCAATCTTTGGGTCATCAGGCGTACCGTCGTATACATCGCAAAGAATTTGAAGCGCCTCTTCATGCCGGCCATGCGCATACAAGTACCGGGGCGACTCAGGGAGGCCGAAAACAAGCACGATGACGATAATCGCGAAGATTACTTGGCAAGCAATCGGTAAACGCCATGCGATCGATCCTTCCGTAAAAGACATCCATAGTCGAACCAGTACGCCAGCTCGATCCCCACGCCAACGAAAAGCGGCTCCGACGCGACGAGCCGACCGCGTTTGTTCGCTTCGCAGAGTTCAGATTGGTACATAGGCACAGTTGATGTCTCGATGCCCGTCCCAATTCCCGTCAGAAAACGCGCGACCATCATATGCGGCACCGAGTACGCACTCGCTTGGAGCGCGCCGCCGACCTATAATCATTAGCCACAGTCCCACCAGTGCACGTATGTCCTCTTACTATAATCCAAACCATAGCAATCCACATAGCCAGCCTCCTTCCCGTCTTCTCGCAGAACATAAAGCTGAGAACACATCCGGTAAAACAACCAAGATTGTAAATCGACACGATGATACCTTCGAGACCAGGCGAAGGGTGGTCGAAAGTGTTTAGGAAGTCTTCGTTGCCGACGATGCCGCTGAAGACGCCTTGGTCGTAGCCGAAGAGGACGAAGGCGAGCTGGCAGGCGATTGTTATGGCGGCGCGGAGTTTGAAGCCGCGACCGTACCAGTTGAAATGGGGTGCGTGAAACATCGTGGGCGGAGTCTTGTTATCTCACCCTGCGAAGGAATGCGATGCGCACGATGGAAGCGATGAGATACGCAAAGGAGGACTGCAGTGCCGTGCGGGTTTACCCCATGTTTCTATACCATCATCTTCATACCTCACCGCTCGCTACCCGGATCATGTCACCCGAACACACGCAGCATGCTAGATCTGGCCCCGACGTCACGAAAGATGGTCAGTCGGCAAAATCGCCGTTATCACAAGCTGCCTGCGCGCATAACTGACGGAGTAATTGCGGGGCAAGGATTATTCAAAAGGCTCTGGCGAATGATTAAGACGCAATGGTGCCGTTGAAAGCCTTACCGAGCTATTGGTGGCGTCGCTTGGTCGCGTAGAAATGCGTGTCTGGGGTAGGATGGGGTGATCTGCAGGTGCGGAGGTGGAGAAGGGGGGATGACGTCGCGAGGAAGGCACGGTTTGGGGAAGCCGGTGATGGCGCAACAGGGGCGGCTGATATGAGCATGCGAATTAGGATACAACCAGAGCTTATTTGATCGAGGCGCGAGATATCCATACATTTGTCGCAATCAATACTGTAGAGCCTGTAGTTGTGAATGCTGAAGTGCTGCGAAGTCCAGGTGGTTGGTGCCCATGTGTGCTTATCTCCGCGCCATCTCCGGAGCGATCCTGCCAAATCTCAGCCGTCACCCCATCCTCTCTTCTGCTTCCATCTCCATCCATCGATCTACTATGACCGATTGCAATTTCCCTGCAAGAACGAGGAGGTTTTCAATTAATGATGGCGGATACGGCTACAGTACATGAGCGGCACTCCTACACGGTCAACATCAACTTAGACTGCGCATCGTAATAGTGGATAAACCTTTCTGGCGACCGCTGCTGAGACATGCCGTTAGACATGCGCCAGACATGAGGTACACCGACCCGATCTTTACCATTCTAGACTACCTGATCAAACGACCTTAACAAGCACGTGTGGATCTAGACCGATACAAGGAAATCGCTCGATGCACAAACAATGGGGGGCTTCATAAAGTGAAACCTCTTGCTTCGCATTTCACGCTTCAGCCTGCGGAGGAGAAAGACCTTCTGGTGCCTTCCTCTAACGTTGCACCCGCAATTTATCAACCGGCTTCCAACTCGATACACAGTCCAGCTTCAGACAATGAGTACACCAACTGTGGCGCCTCCAATGGGTACCACGACCAAGCAGCCCACCTCTAATCAAGGTCATCTACAGTCTTTGATGGCCAAGGTTCGTAAGGAACTCCGACCACCAACACAGATAGAGACTTCATATGCAACCAATCTTACCCAGGCTGTCGAGAAGGAAGCTTGGAAAGAGTCTCAAGAAGTTCGCGACAGCATGTTGGGCCTCGCTCAAGAAGCTCGGAGGATGTTTGGCCTTCGACCGTTTGATATGTCATTGAATGGGGAGAATGAAGCCGATGGCAAAGAGATGGTTCTGCGGAACGGTGGGAAGCGACCAGCTTCCACGGCACCAGCCCCCAATCCATCAAAGCGGCAACAACGGGAGCCTATTCGACCACCGCCACCACCACATTCTGGCAAGATAGACCAGAAATCCAAGACTCTAGATCAATCCGGTCGTGTCCGTCACATCAAAGAGGAAAACACCGTCACTAACTCCCAGAACGGTCCGCACGGCCATGGCCATTCTCAGTCGATCGAAAATCCATCCGCCACCAGCTTTCTCACGAGCAGCGCACCAATCTACAACCAAAACATCAATAGCGGGTCTGGTCAGCAAAATATCAACGTCTATGGCGTATTCGAACCTCGGCCACCATCAGCTACCGGCATCGCGCCAACCGAGTACGAGATCCCTACCGAGCCAGAGCATCGTCTAAACCGAGACGCTGGACAGCAAAAGTTCTCGATCAATGATACTGTTACCAACAAGACGGCCAGCGACGGTAAGTCTGTGGGTCACAACCAGACGTTAGAGGGTCCACATGGAAACACGCACATGCGCGTGACGGCGCCGGTCTACAACCAAAACGTCAACACCGGAAGTGGACAGCAGAACATCGACGTCATCGGAAATATGGACTTCGAGAAAAAGGAGCGGAAAGACCGATCGCGTCAAGATCATGTAGTTGCAGTTGGGCAACCTGCAAACCCACAACCACAGTGGCGCGACGATCAGGGTCCAGGTAACCCACGCTACGGTCACAGTGCATCTTACCGGCCAACTTCGCCGCAAGGTCTTGCAGTTGCAACCGGGCAGAACGCAATTCCACTACCACAGCGACGCGACAATCAAGTACCTCTTAGTCCATTCTATCAACCAGCTTCGTCTCACTATCGACCAACCTCGCCTCAGTATGGATCAACTTCGCCTGAGTATCGACCAACCTCGCCGCAGTACTCGTATGGACCAACTTCGCTTCACCGTCGATCTCGCTCACCTCGCCGCCGCGTCGCCGCGCATAGTGACAGTGGCGCTATGGATGAGTACCGGGATCGTTCGTACGGGAAGGGTGATGGTCTTCCATATGAGGATGCTCGGTATGATTCAGAAGATGATTGGTCGAGGCCAGATGGTTTAGATCGGTCTGGTCCAAGGACTTCGCGTCGCGAACGCTGAGATGAGTGGTATGGTAGCCGACGGGGATTAGTATGGAAGGCTAGATCACAGTCAGACGTGTGTATGACCGGTATAGTCAACAGGTAAATATATCCAAGCAATGTGTTAAAGACTGCGATAGCACAATGCACTACAAAGATGACCAAGCTCTTGTACTTATCCGTTAAACGATTGTTCTTCTACATGTGCGTGATGATGACGGTCCGACGCCTCTTGCAGCTCCAGGCCGGCTTCATTATCAGATCAATTGACAGCGAGGGAATTCCTAGTTGCGTCCTTCATTTCCTCCTAGATTTCCTCCGGGGTTCGCTTCCTGATTCGCTTCCCGGATCTCTCCCTCGTTTCCTTCATCGCCATCGCGGACAACGTGTCTAGGCGAATCATCTGGTCCTGCGACTGGCACCGCTCTTTCTTCATTGCTGGGTTGGTCTTCATCGTCAAATTCGACGCTCTCAGTGCTCGTGGTTTCGATAGTCGACATTGAGTCGCCTTCCTCGCTAGGGTGGTCAGTATGATCAGAGTTATCGGATTTAGGGCGAACAAGTTCGGGAACTTTGTGTTTGGAAGGTACTTGAGAGGGGCCACGTTTGGCGCCCCCTTGGTCATTAGAAGACATTTTAGTATAGCCCTATTGCTGGAACTGATGAGTTGGTCTAGCTTGTGGGCTGAAGCTTTGTATTACGCATCTCACTGTAGCAAACTTCATGATCACGGGAACTCAAGAGGGTGACCAGGGCTCGTGATGATATGATGAGTGTATTGGAAAAAAGATTGCATTTGCGATTTTGGTCGTTCCATGGGAGCAGAGATTGGGAAGCCTATACTGGCTTTAATGATGACTTGGTGTTGGCCTGTATATACTGAAAGGTATCAGAAATTCTGTGTGTTGTGTAGCGAACGCGCTTGGGCTGCTACCTTGCGGCCGTGTGCTCGTCAGCTGAAGAGCAGGGGGACCTCAGGTAAAGCCTTCATGTAGACAAGCATCATGGATTGTCGTGAAACCAGGTGATTGGCTTGGGTTGTATCCCGACTGAACTTTCTCCGCGATTGAATCTGGTCTTATGAGAGATATACAACGACCGCTCACCTAGCACTGGGTGTATGCGGTAGTCTGCCTTCTTGTAGAGGGTGACTGCCTACGCCTCAGGCCGAAGATGAGCAAACGCGGTTAAAACGCGGTTAAAATGGGTCAAAGCCAGAGAGTCGCTCACCGAATGTTACTCCGGTATGCATGAACAGCTTTACAGCTTCTCCCGTCCTTCAGGTAGGAGGCTGGCGAATGGGGGTAATGGTTCCCTGTGTCGCGCATACCGCGGCCATTCTGTTCAACCGCATATGCATCGTGCCAAATCCAGACCCAGCTACCAATCAGTCGGGACAGAAACATGTGAGGGATATCATGGGGGTTGCTCGCTCGCATTAAGCAGCCCACACCCCGCGGAGAACGTAACATAAATGCAAAGCACAACCACCGTGATGGAGAAGTGACTCCATCCGCTCAAGTCTCTGGGCTCAACGGGAACGGTAAGCATGGATCATGACTGGGAAATTAGCAGATCAAAGGACCATAGTGATGTTCTTGGTAGAACACCCGGTCTCGACAGGAGGCCAAGGCCCTATTTCACCCTAACAACGGGCCGATGCTCGGTCGACGATCATCAAGCGCGAAGAATCTTCCATGCCAATACGCCGGCTCCGAGGCCAGGCCTTGGCCCCACGCGGGTGCTATCAGATGGATTAAAACTGGGCGATTGGTACCACGACTAATCAATCTGATAATCGTCGCTTTATCTGATCCACCAACGTACACAACCGAAGATGGGTGCCTTAGGATGTGAGGAATTTGTGGTTCCAGAACTGTATGGCTGCTTGGATGCTAATGCAAGTGCGCAGGGCTCAGGGCCAGCGACTCTGGCGATGCGAAGAAAGTTTTGGAGAGGAAGCTCGTTGTGAAGCTTGGTACGAGCATCTTTATCCTCATGGCGCAACCATGCTAACTTTCATGTGACCAGACATCTTCATCATGGTCAGTACTGTCGCAAAACTCGACTACTCATGATGTCTGACTGTCTTGACTAGGTGTTCTGCTGTGCAGCCTACTTCTTCAACTACCTGGATCGCCAGGCTTTCGCTAATGCCTATGTTGCTGGTCTCCGCGAAGACATCGGCCTCAAAGGCAATGAGTATAGCATCTTGCTGTCGATTTTCACTGCGGGGTCCGTTCAGTGTGCCGGTGTGTCATGGCACTCTAGCTGACAGCTTCGCAGTCTCGTTGTCGGCCAGATACCCCATGGTCTCATTATCCAGAAAGTTCGCCCTAGCATATGGCTTCCGTTCACTCTTATCCTCTGGTCTCTTTTGACCATGTGTTCAGCTGGGTGCAAGACGTATTCACAGCTTTGTGCAGTCCGCTTCTTCCAGGGTTTGATCGAGGCCAGTTTATACAGTGGTAGCGTGTATGTGATGGGTTCATGGTAGTAAGTCGATCGAATTCCTTTTCATGGGAAGATTCTCACGATGCCCGCAGCAAGCCTTCCGAGATAGCCAAACGGGCTGCCATCTTTACTGCTGTCGGGCAGGTCGGGAGTATGTGCGCTGGTCTCATGATGACGGCAATGCACCAGACGATGGAAGGCAAAGGCGGCTTGAAAGGCTGGCAATGGGTGTTCATCATTGGTACGTGAGCGATTTCGAGGGCCATCGCGCGCGCGTTGCTAACACATGTGGTTCAGACGGCCTCATGGGAATTCCAGTTGGTCTCTTCGGATTCGTAAGTTGTGTCGATGCTTGCACCCGAGCCTGAGGACTGATAGTAACCCTAGTTCACATTCCCGGATCTTCCAGAGTCGACCAGAGTCTCCTACATCACTCAGGCGGAAAGACAGCTCGCAATGACTCGTCTACCACCTAAGACAGCAGACACCCACAACATCGAGTTCAAGAGCCTTGCGAAGCGTGTTCTCCTAACGCCTACTATGTGAGTAGATACCTGTCGTGTTAGTCAAAACCAGGAAGTCATACTGACTTCTCCGCAGCTACATCCTCACGACTTTCTCAGTCGTCTGCGCCATGCTCGAAGCCTTCGCCTTCCAGGGCATGTTCCTCCTCTGGCTCAAGCACAACAAGTCTCGCTACTCCCAAACCGCTATCAACACGTACCCTCTCGGAATTCAAGCTGTTGCGATCGTCTCCCAAATTCTTGGCGGAGCCTTCATCGACCACACAGGTCATCGTCTGCCTATGATTATCTTTAGTGGAGCGATGCAGCTCATCACCGCATCGCTTCTGCTCGTGCGAAACCTTCCAGATGCGGGGATCTTCACAGCGCATTACCTCAGTGGCACAAGTTTCATCGTAAATCCAATCATGTACGGCTGGGCCACAACCATCTGTCAGCGAACGGGCGACGATGCGGTGAGGGGTGTGACCGTGTATACAATGGCTATGGGTGGTTTGATCCTGTATACGTGGTGGGGTATTGTTATGTACCCAGCGACGGATGTACCGTACTGGAAGAAAGGAAGCATCACCATGATCGTGGTGGTCTTTGCCTTTATTGGATGGGCGTTCGTGGTCAGATGGGTGAGTATCATTGGTGAATAAGGATTTTGGCGTGTGCTAACGATTCGTGTAGCTTGATAGGAAGACGGCGATGGCTGCTAACCGTGAGCCCGCTGAGTCTGGAGAGCATGAGGTGCCGGAAGTGGTTGATGAGAAGACGAAGTCTGGGTAGTGGGCTTTTTCATGGCCCCTCAGAAAGCACTGCCTTCTCGGTTCGCGCACGTCCATGGTGTCGACACCGCTTCACGAAAGGATACGAGGGCATTAATGGCTGCAGGTCGCATTCGCTGATGCGCGATGTTTTGCGGTAGGGTCGGTTGGTGCTGTGGGAGAAACGCATCACGAAGGGATTCAGGGTCTCGCATGTCATCATTACGTCATCGTCATCTCCGCGTTCCGTGGCGGAAAGAATGAACTCAATGCTCCTAATTCTACACTACTCATCACCCTGTTCGCTTCGTTACTGCTATCTTTAACCATTTTCTTCGACGCATCTACGTATGGAAGTCTCCCGATCGCCGCCGGCATGACCAGTGAATATCTACTCACATCCGTTCACCAACCTTCCTTGCCCAGTCAAGATGCAGCTGTTGTAAAGCAGTATTCGACGTGTCTTGACGCAGATCTCGGCTTCGAAGTACATATCTGTCGATTCTTCGACGTCGGTGACCTGTGGCCATTGGAACATCCTCAGAGCGCAGTGATCTACTCGCCTCATCCGTAGCAACCGTAATGGGCTGAGCCGGTTCTTCTCCAGGTTTTTGGCGATCCTCGTCACCCGGTTTCATATACACATCTTCAAGCCATTCGTCGATCCAGCGCCGCTTACGGGAGGATATCCTCTTTCCAAACCTTCGTGGCTCGATTGCCTCTGTCTGACCCGGAAGGCGCAGCTCTGGTTTGGACGGCCTCCTTCGAACCTCACGATCATGCCGATTTGCATCAGAGAGAGCGCACTCCGCCTGCGCATGGCCTCTGTCAGCTTCCTGCATCTTCGCAGAAATCTTACGGCATTTTTCCAGCCATATTGGACCAAATTCTTCTTCTAACTGATACGACCTTACACTCGCGTTGTCACGTTTCCCTCTCTGGTGAAACATGTAAGTCTGCAATTCCCGATCGTACTGCTCACGGACATCATTAAACTCCCGCTCAACGCGTATTGCCTCTTCCGCCGTTTGGTAGAGCACATCCTGTAATGCCAGCAGGTGGTCGTTGCGAGGATAGTCCTTCCATGCGTTATTCCAGGTACTCTCTGCCTCTTCTTCTTCCAGAGGTCCAAATACCTCACTACCTTTGTCTTCGAATGGCGCGGGTTTCCACTCCCCGGGTATTTCGTCGTTCCAATTGTTCTCAGGCCAATCCAGGTTGGGATCGTCTGCCGGTTCTCTTGCATCCACTACTCGGACCCTCGGATTCTGGTCGTTGTCATCGACGCTGGGAAAAACGCCTATTCGTACAAGGAGATCGTCGAGCAAATCCCAAAGCGTTTTCTCTACGGCCATTGTGCTCACATTCACTGCCTGATGTCGAGCGTAGATATCATCCTGCTGTACCTGAAGCTGTTCTTCCTCTGACTCCAGGGCTCGAATACGATAGATCACTTCCGAGTGACGCTTCATCGCCCATTCGAAGGTATCATGATCATACTCACCGTAGTTGCCCGATGTTATCCTATCGACGTCCTTCTGTTCCTCTTCGCACTTTGCCTTGTCTTCGATCATCTTATCATACTTTCGCTGAACTTCATCAAGCTCGCGATTTCGCAATGCATACGACGAATCGGCGTTACGACGGGCCAAGCCCGCCTGTATCATGGCGAAGAATATCTCATACGTCGGCATGATACCTGCGCGACTATTCTCTGGGTTGCCAACCAATAGCAAACCACTCTCAGTGTGGAAATTATTCTTGTGTATGACATCTGGCCACCACCAGACCGGGTCAAATGATATGGGGTCTCCAGGAGGTCTAAGAGCCGGATGTTGTCGTTGAGTGGGAGATGAGTGAGCCACTCCGTGTAAATGATGGCCGTTCTGCGTTTCGGACTGACTATGGGAGAAAGCGTTGGGTATGTTTTCCACTGGCCTCCTCTTTCTCTCAGTGGGGGCTACATACTGAGGATGGACCTGTGGTACCAGACTGAGGAACCTTTCGCCTCCCTGAGCTCGGTAGCCATTACCGGCGGTTCTTTTACTGAACATTGGATGAATCTGAGGACATAACCAAAGCCAGCTCGATGAGTTCTTCGCCTTTTCCGACCACTTTGTTAGTTGGTAATCGAATGCAGCGTCCTCAGTAAGACGAAGGAATTTGGAAGGCCGCCTTTCGGAATGGAAAATGCTCTCCTCGTCGGCATCCCTGACGTAGTCTTTGTAGCCTCTCTTCCCACCAGGTGTCAAAGTTTTCGCCGGAGACCCCGGGCCCACGGAAGTCATGACTGGTCGCGTCAGAATGTTTGATAATCGTCTGTTGAGACACAAGAGCAAGAATTTCGCGGCCCGGCAACAACGTCAATCCCTCTGGAAGAGAAGCTTACCATTTCGACAACTATGACAAATCGGACGACAAAGACGTGCTTGTCATTTGTACGAACCCACCTTTGTCTCTCCCCGTCTTTGTTACTCGACCATCTTACATAAGCGGAGTCGGCACACAACACAGTACATCGGTAGCTGTGAGCGCTGTGAATGATAGGTGCGTGCGCTCCGAGAGACTTTCTCAAGTTGGGCGCAGACCCGAGTGAAATGGTCTGGCGACCGCAATTCACACTGGGAGGAGGCACTCTGCCCCCTCTCCCTATATCAATGGCGACTACTCGGGTTACCAAGGCTTTCATCAACACCTCTCGAGCCGCAACCTTCTCAACCTAACCACATCAGCCAACTGGCCATGTCAGAAGGGAACCGCTCAAGAGATGACGGTCGTGGGGCTGGCGGCAGGCGGCCCCATGGCCGTGATGGACGAGCTGATAGATGGAGACCAGGAAGTCCATATCGCGACGGTAGGGATAGTATAAGGCCTCGCGATCGATCTCCACCAGCCCAGACCCAAGAACAACGGAGATACACCGGAGACCATCGACCTCATCAGTTTACAGGATCGCAGCAAAACCGCTCAAACGCCACTCTGCATGCTGGACGCGACATGACGAACAATTTCAACCATCAGAACCCAAACCACATGCCGCTTGGGGTTCGAAGTGAAAGTCGTCCCGAGTCAACTGCCTTGAGCTCTGGAGTACCCACAGCACCTACTACGGCCCTGGGTTTTGGAGAGGTCCCAAACTATCAAGCCAGGCCTGCAGGTACCATGACAGGGTACGAGAACTCTAACACGGGCGGAAGTGGTCGAGAGCCCTCTCAGAGGGCCAAGACAGTTTCATCTCACAATAGCAATACCGGTCGCTATTCAGCCCCAGACGGACATGGACGTATAGACCAACACACTTCAGCGAGTCGGCAAGCTGTGTTACCAAACTTCACACCCCTCACATTCGGAGACATTGTCAACTTCTGGATGATCAAGCATTGTCTTATCGACGCCGATCTACGAATGGGGACCAAAGACGGAGAATATGGCTTCGCAGACAAATGCGTACTCCGATTCTATCCAAGCAAACGCATCCGGGACGAGTACGGCCAGGGTTGGCCGCATGGCTTTTACATGGAGGCTCGAGACGGCCTCGTGACTGCTGTGTCGTATGATGACGATTGGCCAACAATCGAAATCCTACCCATCTGGACTTATAGTAAAACAGGAGCATGGAAAAACGCAGAAGAAACCATACCCAAGTCCCCGGAATTCTGCGCTTCGCACCTGTCGATAATGAAACGACCGCGAGTCAATGCTCGGATACAATACGAGGCAGGAATTCGAGAAGAATTGGCGCGGAATCCAAACTCCACCAAGACGATTTCACGCGGCATGGATTGTCCAACTCCTAACGGCCATCCGTATGCGCCAATGGACTGCGTCGCGGTGGTCGAACGACTCCATCCGTACGATCCGAAGCGCAATTCTTTGATCAGGTTCTCCATGAGTATCACCGTATACCAAGATGCACGGGTGCAACGGCATTCTTCACTGGAGCCCGAGAGCAGACTTCGCACACGAGATATCTACCGCAAGTTCTTAAACATCAGGATGCTTGATCCTGAAGAACGGCGTACAGCTGACTATGGCCCGTATACTTGGCTTAGAGCACTGGACCCCAGCTACACTGGGCCCTTGACGACCCCAGAGATCGGCACCATCAACGCTGCACCTCCACAGGGGCCGACAGTACCTCAGCAAAACGGGGCATTGCCGCCTTCTACCGGTCCAGCTACGGTGGCTACACCTCATCAGATGTCAATGGCACCCCCTCAGAATGCAGCCCCACCACGTCCTACTGGTACTTCGAATTCTACTCCTCAGCAGGTGTCGACAATGACTAATCAGAACGGGACCTTGCCATATCCTAACAATATTACAAACGCTGCACCTCCACCTCCACCTCCACCTCCACCGTCGGCGAAGCGCAAGGCTGACGACACAGAGGCAGCGTCGTCTGTACAGGCCGAACAGCAGGCCGCAGTGGGAAATGATATCGCAAAGGGAGAGGACGACAACTTCGGTGCACAAGCTGGTGACTCTACCGCACCACTGGAGCCAGCACAAAAGCGACAAAAGACCACAATCAGCGCCGAGGACGACGCCGATGTCGATGCCGGGCCTAAGTCTGACGACGCAGAACCCAGATAAGAGCTTGAGAACCTAGGAGATGATCTCCCATTGAACTGCAGATATTGCAGTTATGAGGACATGATACGGCTACGCTAGTTGGCATTACTTCATCAGAAGAGCGGCGTCGAGCGAGCCAGCGTTGCAGTAGATGTCTCGACATTGTATTATATTGCTCCTCATTCACATTTCAGTTCGTACTCGGATTGTTGCTTATACATCATGTTACAAGTTCCTTCTCTTTCCCTTCAGGCCCATACTTTTACGTTGATAGTCTTCTCTATTCATGTTCATATTTGTCGTCGTTCGTTCTAATTGTTCTGCTACCGACATAATCTTCGCAATTCATTTCGTGCTTGAGGATAGGCTTAATACGTGGGTGGGCATGTTGAATGAACATTGTGAAAGGTAAAGGCGCAATGTTTTAGGTGGACGGGGCCGGGAGGTGTTACGATAACGCGAAGAAAGGGAAAGGGGAGAGGCTGGATCTCTGGGCGAGGAAGGGGTAGATGTTGGGTTGGAAGTACTCGGGCGGAGTTGTGGGAGTGGGGAGTGGGAGGGGAGAGGTGTAAGAGGATGTGCGTGATGCATGATTTGGGGTCGATGAAGGGGATCGGAGTAAGAGCGACAGGGATGGGAGTAACTGTGAGGAGTAACTGTCAACATATTAATCCGTTCTCGAGTCCGTAAATGTGTAATTGATACGTATGCGTTACATAAAAGCAGCGTGAAAAGAATCTTCGTAGTACTCGCGATAGTCATGACCCATTATGTTCGCCCCTGCGCCGAACGAACCCAGAAGACTCCAAAGCAAGCAAGCAAGCGGCCAACGACGGGATCTTGATATGCCCATGTAATGTCGTCTAGATGGTATAAACGTGAGGAAGCAAAGCAACGCTAAATGCTGATGTTCGATGATGAATGATGACGAGGACGAAGGAAACGCCAAACGCTATGATAGAGGAGATTTGGTTGTAAGCCGTGGGGATTAGACGGCGACAGTGTGGGCGCGGAACAACATCTTGAGGCCGGAAGGCTCTTTCTCCTTCTTCTTGGTCTTGCTGCTTTCTTTGCTGCTCTCCTTGCCGGATTTGCTGGAGGCGACTTTGCTGGAAGCGACTTTACTTGAGGCAACCTTGCTGGAGGGACGTTTTGAGTCGGAGGTCTTGCTGGTCTTGACGCTGACTTCGGACTTGGGTGCGCGGTGCTTGTGCTCTTTGTGCTCTTTGTGTTTTGATTCGCTGCTGTGCTTCTTGGATCGGGTGCTGCGGCGGGACTTGAGATCATCTTCGTCAAGTACGCCGGCGGCGCAAAGGGTGCGGGAGGCTTCGGGCGTGATGAACTCGCCGTCGACACTGGTGCCGGAGCTGTTGGCCTCGACGTCTGCGATGCCGCGGCGCCACAGCTCTACGCGGCTGAGCTCCTGGGGCTCGAGCTCGTCGAGCTGGTTGTTGGAGTCTTCGATGGGCATGGTAGCGGCACGCATGGGCATCGCCATTTGCGGCTCAGGTAGGGGTGCGTCGACTTCCTTCTGGACTTGCATCTTCTTGATGATTTTGTATCCACCGAGTGCGACAATGGTAACGCCGACAGCGACACCTCCAGCGATCATGAACTGGGGGCTGAGGAGCAGAGCTGCAACGGCAGGGAAGCTGCCCTTGAGCGTCATGAGGACACCAGGTCCCATCTTGCCGACGATGGCGCTGATCTCGGCGAGCGTGAGTGATACGGCGGCAAGCGCTTCGGGATTCTTCTGCAGGTTCTCGATCATAGCCGTGGCCGTGTGTTGTAAGCAGTTGGCCTCGTCCAGGAGCAACTCGATCTTGGAAGCCTTCTCTTTCAGCTCGACGTCGTTGTACTTCTTGTCGGGCAGGGGCGGGGGCACATCGCCGTAGCAAAGGTCCATGTCGACTGACTTGGATCGCGACTTGCTGCTCTGCGACGAGCGCTGGACGGCCTGATCGGAATTCCTCCTCGCAATCTCCTTGTTGTGTGCGTCGCCGGCGAGGTCGGCTTCGAAGCGGTGTTTGCTGCTTCGCGGGCTGTCGTTGGCATAGAAGCTGTCGCTGTAGCCGCGCTCCATCACGGGCCGGTCATGGGCCTTGGTGCGATGGGTGTGGGCTTTGGACGCCTTGGAGCGATGCGAGACCTGAGAGCGGGCGTCGTCGTCGTCCAGGCGGATGGCCTTGACGCCCTTGGCGAGCTCCTTCTCCTTGACGGCGGCATCGCGCTCCGCCTTGATCTCCGCCTTGCGCTCGCGGTAGGCGGCCTTGGCCTCTTTGAAGACGTTGACAATGTGCTTGCTCTGGGCGGGGCGTCAGTACGAGTACGGGGCTTATCGGGGGGCTAGCGAGCTTATCGGGCACTCACACTGCTCACGACCTTCCCGCTCTTGTTAATAACAGTAATAGTCTCTCCGAGTCCGACGGCCATGGTGACGTAGTAGGGCGTTGTGTTCCTGCAGCAGCTGCACAGCGCGCGGCAAGAGGGGTTTTGTGTGACCTTGAGGCTGGTTGCGGTGAGAATGGTACTTGTGTCCTGGGCCTAAAAGGCGGCGGTGAGCATGTATCAGTCAGTGCTCGCGGAAACGGCAGCTGGCGCAACTCCACAAGGTCCCACCTGGATCACCAAGTCGTCGCGGCCAGGCTGCGACTATAAGGAATTTCAGAGTCACTCCTGACGGCGCTATTGTCGGAACACTACGCGCGGAATGAGGCGATTTCTACCGACCGCGACACGCAGCCATGATGGTGGTGGAGCGCGGGGTGCAACCAGAGTGGCCGAAGCGACCTGCAGCAAAGCCATTCACGAGACTGCCCGCATACTTCGCATCGCTTGTCTGTGACGTCTCGCCCTGGTTCGTGGGCTGCGGCGTGAAGACTCAACCAGTGCAGTCCGGGCATAGTCGCAGCGCGTGTCGCCATGTAACTGGAGGCGCTTCCCTGGCGCCGGCTATGCGGGCAGCGAGACGCTGCAGCACTGAGGCCCCGGCTTCGCCTGCCATTGGTGCGGATGGCCGTCTTGCTTTATTACTGCAGCCATCGTGAACGTGTCGTGACAGCGACTGGACAACTAAATTTCGGCAGCCTCAGTTCTCACGCGTGCTGATGCAACGATGCAGGCCCTGGCAGCCATAACCCGACTGTTGCTGCCCAAACCCCAATATGGAGCCGTCTGGAATCGAGATTCAAATGTTGTCAATCACTGTCCAGTTGGCATGATCGGCTCTAGGTTCAGCCTCCGGTAGCCTTCAGCTGGGAAGGTTGCCCTTACCGCGCCAGCCGTGGCGGTGCTGCTGTGGCGTCTGTGGCGGTGCGTTCTGTCGTCGCGGCCGAGACTCCAAAAGGCTGTTAACGTCGAGCTGAGAAGGTTGAAAATCTGCGAAAATTACGCAAGCTGCGTCACATCGAGGCTGCCGGAGGTTTGACAGTCTTGGTCATCGCCAACAGTGTGGCTGTAGTTTGGTTGGGGTCCCACGCTCCTTTTTCTCAACCCACTTTTCCCACGTTTTCAACGCAGACAGGAAGGCACTCCCTGGTGGTGCTGGTGAGGCATTATCGACGATTCATTACCCGCAGGCGATCAAGGCTACTGGTCCCATTTACACTCTACACAGGCATCTCTGCTCGCCGATTTCCCATCCTGTCCAATCTTCGGCCGCGCTTCGCAATCCTCAAACTTGGCGGCAGAGTGTTCCAGAATGCACACCGACGATCTTCACTCTATCTCTTCGACCTGCATGCGGCAGCCTCCAGCCTCCCGCGCCCTGATATGCATGTTCCCGTGAGGCTGTCCTAAGTCTCCTTAGCAGCTGGAGCGACTCGAGGCGGGCCACACCAACCGCGTCATTTACAATTGGTAGCTCAACGTCGGAAGCCGCTCTCTACGGTGCGACCACGTAGTCGGGCCTGCGAACGGTGAACTATCTATTATTCAGAGCTCGCAGACTAGGGAGCGACTGCATGATTGACAGCGCGCCGCCAAGTTGTACGACACGTGCATACGTGACTGCACGCTGGTGCACATATGTTGGCACCACTCTGCGCTTGCTGTGAGATACGCTGGTATGCTGATATGGGAATCGAGAAAAAGGAAGCAGTGATGCTATTCCATGATCTCAGCTTACTGTGAAGCACACTCCCCCCTTGAGATATGGCGTCATTGCAGCGAGATCGCTCGCCATGTAGCAGTAGGAGCGGTGAGCTCGTTACTCAGTGCGAGCAGCAAAGCTCGAGCTCCCCTGAGAGGTCACCTAGCGACGACGAGACGTCCTCAGATATTATGCTGAACGAGGTAGATGAAGCCGATCAACGGCTGCCTCTTTCGAGCACGGTAAGGGAGGCACCGCTATCGCACAGCGCGGGACTTTCTTCTTCTGCCATCTTTCCGTTCCATCTCCTCGCAGGCTGTAGCTCAGCAGAAAGAAGGACCATGTGCATCTTGTCAGCGTCGCTTACATCGCAGGAAGTGAAGACAGCTCTAGGTGTAGGACTAAGAGGTACGTCTAGTCGAGTTGCTGCGTCCATCGGTGGTGCATCAGGGCCCCGCAGCCGGCGCTTTTGGCCCTGGACCCTGAATGTGCCGTCATCGCTCCCACCAAGTCGCGAAACCTTTACACGCGACCATGCACTCACTCCAGAGATACAACACCAAGCCGGGCTGACCATGCCAGCAGCAGCGCCTCCGCATAATGACGGCATCCTGGAGACGCAGGGCGCAGAGAAGTCTGGCCTAGATGGCAATCGAACGCCGGCCCTCGCGCATCGGATGAAGCACGACAAATCGATCCTCGCGTTAGCAGTGTCATCACAGTACATCTTCGCTGGAACACAGGGCGGGGAGATCCTAGTACGTGTTTAAGCGAGCTCCAGAGGCGCCAGGCTCATGACGTGCAGGTGTTCAGCCTCGATACCTACGAGCGACGCAGCGTCATACACGCGCACAAGGGCAGCGTACTCGGCTTGTGTCTGTCGCATGACCGCAAGTGGCTGTTCTCGAGCGCAGCAGACCCAATCGTCAAT